AATATGACATACAGTGGGGTCATGGCAGTTTGAAGTCAGAAGTCAACTGCCGGTTTATAGACTTTCTTGCCATATGAGTATACGTTGCCCAGGGTGCACCACTTGAAAAGGTATTTAGGGAAGTGGTTGCCTTATTTATAATTATCGCTGAAAGGTTGTATTTCAGATTTAATTTAGTTTCAATCTGAGTCACTAAGGCTTTGGTGCTCTTTGCAGTAGCTTTATCAGCTAAATCATGTCATTTACTTTCAAAGTATGAGATGAAAGAAAGCAAGTACACACTTTATAATCATATAGTAGAAGTGAGGACAGATTAAAAGTGACTTTGAAGTGCTCTCACACCCCTTGGATGCTAATATTTCGTATTTCGATTTGTTATAATTTTCAAATTATTGAAGTAACTATAGGCATTTCATCTGCGTATTCCAAATACTTTTTCAGCTTAGCTTTCAAATCTGCGTAGGTTTCAATAAAGTTTTATGGAGCGAGAATTGATCTCTTTGAAGAGTCATTTTAGTTAGAGGGGACTCGATGTAGTTAATGAAGTAGGTGATGCAATGTTCTTTTTTTAAGTTTGGGGTGCGTGATAGACTAACCTCCACGTGGTGCACCCTGGGCAACGTATACCCATACGGCAAACAAGTCTGTTAACCAGTAGTTGACCTCTCACTACAAACTACCATGACCCCACTGTATGTCATTTTTGACCACTTCACAGTACTCATCTTACCTTTTCTCTATCTTAGCATCTGTCCGTCTCATTTACCTCTGAATCATTATTCTGTCCCCCCCCCCCTTTCGACTCTTTGTCACTTTGATATTCCTCCTCCCCTCTGTGAAGCCTAAAGTCAACTAAAGGGCTAATGATAACTATCAAGACGCCTGCCATTTGAAAAAAACAAATATTTTTACGTTTAATTAAGAACACATATTTTCTAGCCACAGAAAATTCACCACATTTGTTTTACTTTTCAAGGTTTATCATTTGTCAATAATGGTTTTCATTGATTTTATTGGGAATATACCTTTAATCGCCAACAAATAAGAGATGCAGCTATTCCATTAGCTGATCATTTGGGACAAGTGATAATGGAAGAATTTTAACTGCTTAATTCCTTATACTTTGCAGTTTTGCTCAATTTTAAAGGAAGGGATATCTCCCTTCAAAAACTTAATTAAAGTAATCACTACCTCAAAATAAACCCCAGCTGTTCTTGTGTAGATTGGAAAACATCTGAAATTTTCTTTACTTCCAAATGAATAATCACCCTACTCCTTTTGAAAGTGGATATCTTTACTACAAATTTAAAATCACCTTTAAAGTAATTGATATAATAAAATAGCGGAATTTAAGCCTATCTGCTCTATCATATTCGCACGCTATATGGTATTCTAAAATTGCTAATACTAGTTTAGTGTTAATAAATGAACACAAATACTATTAGTCATTGAATTCAATTGGCTGCCTGAAAAGTTTTAAACTAGTGGTTTGATTAATTTATTCACTAGTCAAACATAATTGAAATTAGGTAAATAGTCATTATTAATTGTATACTCCATCAAAGATGCCTAAAATTAAAAATTAATGGTCAAATAAATCGGTGGAGAGAGCGTATTTTCAAAATAGAACAAACTGCACTTTCAGCGGCGTAAGTTTGTTAACTAACTTGGAAGATTTCTGGTGGGCTAATCAAAGTTGGATTTAGATGCCTCGTTGGCGTGCACTCTAAGTGCTCTAGAAACACGCAGATAGTTGTGATCTTTAGTCCTTAATTTTGCTTCCGATTCACCTTCGAAGGCAACCTTGCGTTGTTTCATGATTTCTCTCGGCTTAAGCAAAAAATACTATTTATTAAAGGTAAGTAACATATAATATACAAGAATATAATCCTGACCATGAAAAGTTAACTATTGTTGTTTTAGCCATGCTTCACTTACCAGGATATAAATTTCTTCCTCTAAGCGAGAATCTCGATCAATGGCTGCGTTAATGATATCCAACTTTCTTTTGAGAACATTCTCGTACCTCTCCTTGGATAGTTCTATTAAATGGTCTAATTCTTGGATATCTTCTCTAATTGGAATTATCATCATTTCCTTAAGCTCCATTTGAACTCGAATTAGCATTGCTGCTTCCTTCATTTTAAAAAAATTTTCGATATCTAATACGGTTATCTGATCATCAATCCCGAGTTTCATATTTTCACCAAAATTTATTCGATTTAAGATATGGTGAGCTAGAACAAACACTTCCTCAGTTTCGCTCATTGGAGTCCAATCTTCAGTTTTCTTTTCATCTAAAAATTCATTCACTTTCTCCTGATTAACTCGCCAACAATGACATAAGAAAGCGACGATATTGACCTCATTTTGAGTGCTGTTGACGAGTCTGTACTCATTCAATCTGATTTCCAATTGTTCCTCCATGGTAATCTCATCACTACCTTTGGCCTTGAAAATACTTTCTCTTATTGGCACCAGTGGCAGTGGTTTTGCTCCCCGCCATGATACTAACTCCCTAATGACTGGGTCGTCTTTGTCGAGAATCGTGACTATACAGCGCATTAGAGGCTTAATAAATCCAAACGGTATCCTCTATTATTTGTAAATTGAATTTTATTTAAGTGTTTGCGAATACCTCCAAAATATTTAGAAGAATTGTAAAGCCACCAAGCTGAACAAATAGGGTACGATTTTCATTGCAATTCGCAACACATGATTGGACAGCTCCAATGACACAAATAGCCATTTCGATAAGTGGACGCCAATTCTCGAACAGCTGCTCGGGTTTCGTCCAATCAGAATTGAAAAGATGCTCCTGGTCGCATAATTCAGTTTGGAGGCACATTAGGTAAGTAAAAATCATTCGTGTGCCTTCAGCTCCCAAAAGACGACAGCTGAAAGGGGATTTATTAATGGGTAATGCAAAAACGTACCCCTCAAAGCGTATGCAACATAATCTTGATAGGCACATCAGACCATTGAATATTGTACGCATATGCTTTGTTTCATAAGTATGAGCGTATTTTAATAATGTCTTAAGTAGATACTCGATAATTCCTACACCCACGTCGCTCTGAAAGGATGTGTGATGGAATGTAGTAATAGGAAGGTTCCATGCATAAGAAGTTTATAATATGACCACTAAATACGCAAAATACTGTAGTAATATTGCTATTTGAAGAAATATTGTACACAAATGAAAATAAAACTATAATTTCATTAAAGTTTAACGCTTAAAATTACTTATGTTTCTGCAAGTAAATTATCATTAAGAAAATCCCTCTCCTAAACCAAAAATTCTTCCAATTCTTAAGGAGAGTTCTAAAATTCAGATGGCAGTAAGAGTGGAAACAGTAAGAATTCTTAAATGAACTGCAGAACCAAAATGCATCAAAACTAGAAAAGATGCAGGTGAAGTTACCTAGAAGTATGAGCATGAATGCTTTAGTGACAATTATTTCCTTTCCTAAACTGACTGCCGTTATTTTGTGGAGTGAAAAACACTGCCACAGTTGAACATAAAAGGCTGATGCGCACTTAGACAGAGTGAAGGTGCGGCCGCGCTACTTGTCACGTAGAGTGCTTAAAGACCCCACAACCAGCCAACAATCAATACTCACTGCATGGTTGAATTTTTATCAATTACTAAGCTGTTTGGTAGACATGTATGCCACTTACATATCGTTGAAGCAATTTAGCTCATTTCAGAATCCTTTCCATACAATGTGATTTTGCCATAGTGATTAATGAGGATAGCAAAAAGCTTATCTGTGCAGAAATTCCCTACAAGTCAATAACGTTTTCTCATTCTTCCCCAATTCGGTTACAGATAATCTTTAGAACTTTGAGGGCCCTTGAAATGTCCTACTTCTAAAAAAAACCGTGAAAATCGGGTGACCTATGGTTATTGTACCAACGCTTTTTTGAACTCTCTCTGTATGGAAGATCGATTTAAAGACCTGCTGATTTTGCGTAAACTTCAACCACTTTGTTGAACTGATTTCTATTAATGTATTCTCGGTACTAAAAAGAAAAAGAGTAAAAAATATTTGGGGGACTTGTTAATAATTGCTAAGATTTTACATTTTGAGACACAATTGTTCTCTTAGTGGCTTTCACAATGAAATTCAGTTCCAGAATGTTCCGAGCCTCCGTTCAAACTAGCTGATTGCAAGGTTTGAAATGACTAGCGATTTGCCCGATTCAATCCACATAAATCTCACAAATGATATTTGTGTTGTAGCAAATGAGAGCATTAGCAAACAGCGTGCTGAACTAAACAAGATTTCGGCGGGAAAACATCACCATCCGAAAAGTTGAATCAGGTAGGAGAACAATCAGTCCAACTCGAGTAGAGTCACGGAGTGAAAGGAACAACCGTAAAAGGATCCTCGCGAAAATGCCGAAATATTTATTTATTTAAATCAAATGGCAGGCGTTTTGATAGTTATCATTAGCCCTTTAGTTGACTTCAGGCATCACAGAGAGGAGGAGGAATATCAAAGTGAGAAAAATTCGAGGAGGAGGGGGGGGGGAAAAGAAGAGCGA